CCCCGCCCCGCCCCGCCTCGCCTCGCCCTCGGGGCCTCCTGTCAAGCGCGGAGCTCCTCGCGCTGCCGGAAACGGAGTCGAGTGGGGTGGGGCCCGCACGGGCCGGTGACCCTGAGCTGAAACTTGAATGAACAAAGGAGGGGCGGGAGGGCGACCTCCAGTGCCTCAGGCTGCCGTCGGTAGCGGTGTGGCCTCCCCGGAACCGAACGGAAGGCTGTGGCTGGGTGTCGTTGGCCGGGGCCCCACGGGGTCTCGCCCAGCCCGTCTCCTGTAGGCAGGGCACCATCTACTGCGAGTCCCAGAGGCCCTGTCTGTGTGGACCGAGCAGGTGAAGACAGGGGCCCCTGGGTCTGTCCTGGTAACACTTAAGATGTCTCTTGACCAAGTGGATGCCAAGTCATCTGCACACCGTATTTATTGGGCATCTTCATCCGTTCCACAAAGCCAAACAAGTGCCTGAAGCTTGGTTCTGCCATAGACAAACATTGGCCAAGCTATGGAACCTTGACTAGGTGATGTGTTAACCTGTTTCTTGGAATGAAGCATTCTCCATAAATATGAACTCTAGAAACCAGTGGCACATGCCTGTAATCCTAGCAATCTCAGGATCATGGTTCGAAGTCAGCCTGGGCAGGAAAGTCTATGAGGCTCTTTATCCCCAACAATCTACCAAAAAAAACCCAAAAACAAAAAACAGGTGGAAGTGGAACCAGGCTCGGGTAGCTCACACCTGTAATCCAAGCTAATCAGGAGGCTGAGATCTGAGGATGGTGGGTTGAATCCAGCCCAGCAGAAAAGTCTTAGCTCTGATCAACTACTTGAAAATCTGGAAGTGGAGCTTAGTGGTAGAGCACTAACCTTGAGCAAAAAGAACCTCAGGGACAGTGCCCAGGTCCTGAATTCAAGCCCCAGGACTAGCACCCAAAAGTTTAAAAAAAGTTTAAAAATGTGTGTGTGTGTGTGTGATCACAGTTACAATTATTATTGTAACTTAAAATTACCACCGTGTAACAGCTATATACATACATATATATATATATATATATATGTGAATATCTATGAACAATTATTGTAATCAAAGGTACATTTTTTTTTGTACCATTGCTAGGACTTGAATTCCGGGCCTGAATAGTGTTCTGCTACTTGAGCCACACAGCTTTTTGCTGGTCATTTAGGGATTAGAATCTCATGGACTTCACTGTCTTCCAACAGTGATCCTCAGATCTCAGCCTCTTGAGTAGCTGGGATTACAGGTGTGAGCCACCAGTTACTGGCTTACAGTTAACAATAATTATGAATGATGTCAATATTGCACTAGTTCACAACCCACAACCAACACACTGTAAGAAAAGAGAATGTAGTCATATCAGCTGTGGGGTGGGGTATTATAAAGTAGGCATCCCAAGCCTTTGGAAATCAGGATTTTGTCCAGTAGGGCATTCTGATGGGATCAACTAGGAGATTCAGGTGGCAGAAATAATACAAAGAAAAGAAGGAACCAGGAACTAAAGGTGTTAAATAAATAGTGTGGTACCTGGGGGTATGATAAGATAAGTTTGTGCCTGTCCAGCTGTATTTCCTTTCTGCAGCAGCCCTGACTCTGGTCCTCTAGGTGGTTGTATTTCAAAGCACCTAAGCCACTCATCCCTGTGTTACCAACATCTCAGCCTGGCCTGGTTTTTGCTGGTAGTGAATTACATAAACCTGTGCTAGGTGTGTGTACCAATATTTAGAGCCCCTTTCCTTTACCTAATTCTGCTTTTTATGTCCTCCAACAGGTTCTCCAATGCCACTCATGAGGGCTTCAATGTCACCCTCCACACCACCCTGGGTGTCACAACAAAACTGGTGCTGCCAACCCCTGCCAAGCCCATTCTTCCAGTGCAGACTGGGGAGCAGGCTCAGCAGGAGGAGCAGTCAAGTGGCATGACCATCTTCTTCAGCCTCCTTGTCCTGGGTGAGTCCAGGCCAGAATGTCCCCATGGTTAACCTAGACTGTTGCTGACTTTCTCAAGTCTTCTCCCATGTTAGCAGGACATTCCTGAGCTTTATGCAGCCATAGATCCTTTGGGGCCAAAGCTCAGCCTTTGAAAAAGAGAAAGAATTTTTTTGTCTTAGAAAGCTCTAGTATATCTGATTTAATGGGTCTTGAATTCTTCTCCTAGGATTGGGTTGGGGTAGGGATTGATGGGACAGAAGGTAAGGAAATCAAACAGGAATGCTTTCAAACTCCAGACCCTGGCTTCAATTGGAGCAGAATTTTGTCTATTCTGTTTATTAGTCCATTTTCCATTTAGTTTAGAGAAAAAAAGACCTTCTGCTAAGTGCAAGATCAAAAGCCTTGTATTGCCCAGCATTCATCTCTGTCATACCCATTACCCCTTCATCCTATATCTATACTGCCTACACCTTTATTTTCATATGCAATATTTTTGTTTAAATGGAGTCATTGTCTCAAAGTTGGAACCTCATGTTGTCTGCCCTCTTCCTCGAATGAGTGAAGAAATTTAGGGCCAGAGAAGTCAAGTGGCTGGCATGGCTGTTTTGTGGGAGACAAGAGGCTAACACCTTTGATGTTAGACATTAGTTAAGGGCTTTAGATAAGAGGCAAAAACCTCTGCCTTTGCAGATAGAAGACAGGCAGGACACAACTGTTTTGAACAGAAGGAATGAAGTTGAAACTACATAACTGCTTTGGATTATCTGACCTAGAAAGTTAACAGTTTGACTGAAGTCCAAACTCTTGGAAATGTTTCTATTTTCAGTGCTTTTCTTTGTTTTTGTTGGTTGTAGGGCTTGAGTTCAGGGCCTGGGCATTGTCTCTGAGGCTCTATGCTCAAAGCTAGTGCTCTAGCACTTGAGCTATCTTACCACTTCTGGTTTTTGAGTGGTTAATTGGAGATAGGAGTCTCATGGGGACTTTTCTGCCTGGGCTGGCTTTGAACTACGATTTGTAGATCTCAACCTCCTGAGTAGCTAGAGTTACAGACATGAACCATTGGTGGCTGGTATAGTGCTTTTTTTGGTGATACCAAAATTATGTCTTTTCAGAAGAGTGAAAGGTAGACTGGGTTTTGAGTATTTCTTTGTTGTCTATTAGGGCTGATTTTTAAGAAAAAGTTAAACTTCTTTCACATTTATATTTAGGCTGGTATTAAATGGTCAAAGAATTTTAACAATATTGTCATTTTATTTGAAATCTTTGTCTCATATAGTTTTTATTTTCTTTTCCTCATAGAATTCTCAAGAGTTAATTTTTAGTTAGTTAGTTGGTCATGGGGCTTGAACTCAGGGTCTGGCACTGTCCCTGAGCTTTTTTTTTTTTTTTTTTTGTGCAAGGACAACGCTCTACCACTTTGAGCCACAGCACCACTTCCAGTTTTTTGGTGCTTAATTGGTGTCTCATAGACATTCCTGCCTGGACTGGCTTCAAACTGCGATCCTCAAATCTTCGCCTCCTGAATAGCTAGGATTACAGGTGTGAACCACCAGCTTCCGGCAAGAGTGTATTTATTACTATTGTGACAGTCTTGGGGCTTGAACTCAGGGCCTATGCTCTGTCCTTGGGTTTCTTTTTGCTCAAGACTAGCACTCTACCATGTTAGACACAGCTATACTTTCAGCTTTTTTTTTCTTAATGTATAATGGAGATAAGAGTCTCACAGACGGGGCTGGGAAGGTGGCTCGGTGGTAAGAATGTTTGCCTTGCATGCATGAGGCCCTGGGTTCGATTCTTCAGCACCACATAAACAGAAAAAGCCGGAAGTAGCACTGTGTCTCAAGTGGTAGAACGCTAACCTTGTGCTGAAGAGCTCAGGGATGGCGCCTAGACCCAGAGTTCAGGCCCCATGACTGACAAAAACAAAACAAAAAAGAGTCTCACAGACTTTGCTGCCAGGGCTGGCTTCAAACCGTGGTCCTTAGATCAGAGCCTTCTGAGAAAGGAAGACAAGTGTGAGCCACTGGTGCCTAGCAGAAGTTTATATTGTTTTATTGTGCCAGTTTTGGGTCTTGGACTTGAGACCTAGGTTCTGTCTCCAGTGGTGCTCTACCACTTGAGACACAGCTCTCCTTCTAGCTTTTTTGGTGGTTAGTTGAGATAAGAGTCTCATGGACTTTTCTGGCTCGTTTCAAACCATGAGATCTCAGCCTCCTGAGTGCTAGGATTACAGGCTATTTTTTTTTTTTTTTTTTGAGACAAGGTCTTGCTATGTAGTTCAAACTCTCAATCCTCCTACTTGAGCTTCCAGATGTGAGGATTACAGATGTGTGTCACCATACCCAGCCTGGGTTTTTAAAACTGTTAAATTGAATATTGAGAAAATATACAAACCAGAAGTATACAATGTCCCAAGTATATTTAATAGAGTGTGATGATTTTTTTCACGTAAATGTGGTTGGATTGTATTTCTAGTTAGATTATTTCAGCAGTCAAGGTCTGCTTTGTGTTTTGTTTTCTGCTTTCAAATACAAAGAAAGGCAATTCTTACCTTAGTTAAGAAATCTTCAGAACCTATACTATAGTCCTCTTGCAAGATTGGGTATTTAATCTGTTTACACTGTAGTCAGCTTGTTAGGGGACTATAAAGGCATACCTGGAAGCTTTTGTAGTAACCCTGGTTAGTAAGGGAGGGTGAAAAGAGTAAGACTTTCAGGGGGTAGAGCCTAGAGAGTTGATATCATAATGTGCTTTTCCACTCTGGCAGAGTCCTGCCAGTGGCAGTGCTTCACGTAGGCCAGGAAGGCTCTGTACCTCTCTTGGGTTGTCTTGTCTTCAGAGGGAGCATACACCTAGTCCAGAGTCACGATAACTTTAGATGGGGATTTTTTTGTGCATGTGTGCTGATACTAGGGCTTGAACTTGGCCTTCCATTCTTGGTTGCTTTTTTTGTTCAATCACTCTACCATTTGAGCCATAGCTCCACTTCTGGCTTTTTGGTGGTTAATTGGAGGTAAGAGTCATATAGACTTTCCTGCCCAGGCTGTTTTATTTATTTACTTTTTTATTTTATTTTTGTTGGTTGTGGGACTTGAATTCTGAGTCTGGGCGCTGTCCCTGAGCTCTTCAGCTCAAGGCAAGCGCTCTACCACTTGAGCCACAGGGGTAAAAGTAGAATTAGGAAAAGAGAGAGAAACAGTTCTTCCCCAAGCAGGAAACAGGAGCTAAAGCCGCCAACCCCAGGAACTCCTGACCAGGAACACATTGGCCATCTTTGTTTTGTTAACTCAGCTGAGCTTGTCCTTTGTCATGTCACAGAGAAGGCTCTCTAGTCACTGTGGACTTTGAGGAGCTTGCAGTCTGCCAATTTGCATTTAACTCTTGATGATCTTTGATTGCACAAGAAACAGCTTTGAGTCATGGTTACGGATTTCAATTGGAGTTAACAATTAACATCATTTTGGCATGTACAGTTCATGAGTCATTGAACTTAATGGAGTTATTAAAGTTGACATGTCTATGTTTGCAGTTGCAGGCAGAATAATTAAAGTTCATTATCTCACAGCATCTTTGCCCTCCCTTATCTCACAGGTGTGCTCACCTTTTTTTGTTCTATTTCTTCCCTGAAATACTTGTTAAGTAAATGTGGTTTGGAGCTTAACAAATGTGTCCTGTAAACTTGCTTTTTCATCTTTTTTTCTTTTTCTTTTGGTTGGTCATGGGACTTGAACTCTCTGTCCCAAGCTTTTTCAGCTCAAAGCTAGTGCTCTACCACTTTGAGCCACAGTGCCGCTTCCAGTTTTCTGGTGGTTAATTGGAGATAAGAGTCTTATGGGCTGGCTTTGAACCATGATCCTCAGATTCCAGCCTCCTGAGTAGCTAAGATTACAGGTGTGAGTCACTGGTGCCAGGCAAATTAATTATTTTTAGTCCAGTTGGTCTCCTTCCTTAAGTCTGGTCTGCCTGTGTTGAGTGCTCATGTGTGCATGTGTGTGCAGGCATGTGTGCATGCTTCTTTGCTGCTGCTGCAGCTGCCTTCATTCTCCCTACACAGTGGGTATGTGCGTTAGTCATGAGCTCTGGGTTTTCCAATGCTCTGGGACTTCGTTCAGGCTCCTAGTGTTTAATGTGGGATTTTCTATCTAGGTTAAATGGGCCTGAGCGCTGTCCCTTAACTCTTCAGCTCAAAGCTAGCACTTTACCACTTGAGCTACAGCGCCACTTCCAGTTTTCTGGTGGTTTATTGGAGATAAGAGTTTCACGGACTTTCTTGTCCGGGCTGGCTTTGAACCGCGATCCTCAGATTTCAGCCTCCTGAGTAGCTAGGATTATAAGCGTGAGCTACCAGCACCCAGCTAGGTTAAATATTTATTTTTTTAAAAGTGTTTATATTAGAAGAACATGACAGATAAGTGATTTATAGCACATAATAAAAATGGGACAAGTGTGGTTCCTCCACACCTGGTGCTGTCTGGTAGGACTGGAGAAAGCCAGTTGGTCAGTGTGGGCTCTGAAGGTGGCCCATTGACAGCTGTGCCGAGTGTTTACATGGTTCCTTAAAAACAGAACTATCTCCAGTACCCTTAAAGTAGTAGTACGATTAATGAGGTGTAATCAAGATCCCCCCCCAGTGCCCAAGGAGAGAAGGAGGATTAAATATAATAACTTAGTGCCACAAGACTACCCTTGCAACTATTTAGGTGAAAGTATACTTTTGTCCAGAAATACTTCTTTCTTTCAAATGCTTCTGTGATTGAACTCCTGGGTCTTGTGGAGAGTCAGACATCATTCCTGCCTGGAAGCTGAGGAGATCAACCCCCACCAGGTGGGGATGTGCCCTGTGGGGGTTCAGTACTAGTGCAGGGCAGGGCACAGCTGACCTCTGCAGCTTCATCCTTAAGCCTTGCTGTTTTCGAGTCAAAGCCAAGAAGAGAATTCAGCGAGAGCCAAGGATGGCAGCAATAGGAAGGAGGGCACTCGGTGTTAGCTGTAGGCAGCCCAGAGACAGGAGTGGCTCATCTATAAATCTCTTTGGTATTCTTGTCAGCAATGTATTTACTTCTTCCAGTTTGTGAAACACTCTCACTTCCTTCTATGCTCAGTTGCCTGGTGGCAAAGTTATGTCTACATAATCTGTTGTAGTCATATTTATGTAAGTGATTTCACTTACTTCCTCTTCATTACTAGGCTTTCCATCCCATAATTATTGCTAAAAGGTAGGACCATATCTCAGAGTAGGAAAACGTGAATAATTTTACATGATTGTACAAGGTTTTTCAGCTTCATAAAAACTTAATTACGGGGCTGGGAAGGTGGCTCTGTGGTAGAGTGCTTGCCTTGCATGCATGAGGCCCTGGGTTCAATTCCTCAGCACCACATAAGCAAAAAGAAGCCAGAAGTGGTGCTGTGGCTCAAGTGGTAGAGTGCTAGCCTTGAGCTGAAGAGCTGAGGGATAGCGCCCAGGCCCAGAGTTCAGGCCCCATGATTGGACCCCCCAAAAAACAACAAAAAAAAAAAAAATGATTACTGAAAAACAAAGTAGATGAGGTACACAGAAATATAGAGAAAGGGGCTGGGAAGGTGGCTCAGTGGTAGAGCGCTTGCCTTGCATGCCTGAGGCCCTGGGTTCGATTCCTCAGCACCACATAAACAAAAAAAGCCAGAAGTGGTGCTGTGGCTCAAGTGGTAGAGAGCTAGCCTTGAGCTGAAGAGCTGAGGGACAGCGCCCAGGCCCAGAGTTCCGGCCTCACGACCGGACCCCCCCCCAAAAAAAAAAAAGAAAGAAAAAGAAATATAGAGAAAATGTAATAAACCCATTTTTGTTTAATTTTTTTGTTGTTGTTGTTGGTCATGGGGCTTGAACTCTGGGCCTGAGCACTGTCCCTCAGCTCTTCAGCTCAAGGTGAGCGCTCTATCACTTGAGCCACAGTACCACTTCCAGTTTTCTGGTGGAGATAAGAGTTTGACAGCTTTTCCTGCCCGAGTTGGCTTTGAGCCATGATCTTCAGATCTCAGCTTCCTGAGTAGCTAGGATTACAGGCATGAGCCACTGGCACCTGGCTGTTTTAAAATTCATTTGCCAGTCCTGGGGCTTGAACTTAGGGCATGGGCATGTCCCTGAACTTCTCTTTGTTCAAGGCTAGCACGCTAACACTTGAGCCACAGCACCTCTTTTGTTTTTTTCTGTGTATGTGGTAACAGAGTAATTGAACCCAGGACTTCATACATGCTAGGCAAGCATTCTACCACTAAGCCACATTCCCAGGCCCATAAACCTATTTTTGCAGCTAGGTATGCATGTCTCCAGGTCAAGAAGTGAGACAATAGAGAAAAGCTGACCTTCATTGTGTTGCTGGCACTGACCTCATCCCGGTGGCCCAGCTGCACAACACCACCGCCTCACTAGTTGTTGTTCAGAATCAGCATTGAAGCTGCATCTTATGTTTCCCCACAGCCATCTGCATCACCCTGGTGCACTTGCTGATCCGGTACAGGCTGCACTTCTTGCCTGAGAGCGTCGCTGTTGTTTCTCTAGGTAAGTGCTGTGCCAGCCCGTGGGTGAGTGCTGCTTTGACACAGGAACCACACACATATGGTACATATTGTCACCCTGATGCCATTCATCCCAGCTGCAGCTTACTGTGTGCAGATGCTGCCATGTGCAGAAGTTAGGACCCTGAGGTTTGGAGAAGGGCTCTGCTAGTTCTTGAGCATGCCTCCAGCCTTTTTTTTTTTCTTTTTGAGACAGGGCCTCACTCTGTACCCCAGGCTGGCCTGGAGCTGGAGATCCTCCTACTTCAGCCTCCTGAGGTGGGATTACAGCTGTGATCCACTATTTAACTGAAAAAAAAGATTGATACTTTTTTGGGGGAGAAGTTGGTGGTGGTAATGCTGAATATGGAACCCCAGGCATAGCACATGCTAGGCAAGTATTCTACACTGAACTACATCCCTAGTACTCTACCACTGAACTACATCCCTAGTTCAAATCAGGGACTTTTTTTTTTTTTTTTTTGTCACGGGCTTGAACTCAGGGCCTGAGCTCTGTCCTTCAGTTTTTCCCCCCAAGGCTAGCACTCTACCACTTTAAGCCATAGTGTCATTTCTGGTTTTCTGGTGGTGAATTGAAGATGTCTAATGGACTTTCCTGCCCAGGCTGGCTTCAAACCATAATCCTCAGATCCCAGCCTCCTGAGTAACTGGGATTACAGGTGTGAGCCACCAGCACCTAGCTAAAGCAGGGACTTTAAGGTATATTAAACTTAAAGTTAAAATGTAACACTGTTACTAAGGTCTTCCAAGGCTTCTGTCAATTTCTCATATCTTAGTTACTTGTACTAGATTCCACTGGCCTACTGGTATTTAATTTTCAACACTGATGCTTTATCAGTTAGTTTGCTTCCCCTCATAGTCTTGGTTTATGGAGGAATTCTTTCAGAGTACAGCTGTGCTTTAGGTGGGTCTTGGAAGTAAACATTCATAATCTATTGACCAGCCTTGCCCTCCCCATCAGCCTTGCCATCCTGCCACAGACCCTTGTGTTTCCCCTGGACCTCACAGCTGTGTGGTTTGGGTTTGTAAGCTTTCACACTGCTATCTTGTATACCTCCAGGTGATATTGTATGTAAGAGAACCAGCATGTAGGTACTATGTGAGTACAGGGTTGGAAATCAGTTCTTGTTCTTCATTTGGCTGGTTCTTCAGATTCTAACAACCTTAGCTAATAAGACCCATTGTTCTGGGATGCACAAGAAAGGCTTTAAAAACTGCTTTAGGGGATTTACAGTTTTTATGGTCAGATTCCGTGTGTGTGCGCGCGCGCGCGCGCGCGTGTGCGTGTGTGTGTGTGTGTGTGTGTGTGTGTGCGTGCGTGTTTGTGTTGCTAGGGTTTGAACACATTCTCCCACTTGAGGCACACCTCTAGTCCTTTTGGCTTTAGTTATTTTTTTGAAGTGGGATTTTTATGCCCAGGCTGGCTTGAATCCTCCTATGTAAACTTCCTGCAAACTGAAATGACACATGCACCACCACACCCAGCTCTTTATTGGTGGAGATGGGGCCTCACAAACCATGAACCTCCTGATCTCTGCTTTGAGCAGCTCGGATTACAAGAATTAGCCACCACCCCTAGTACAGTTATAGCTGGTGTTTATTTAGCTATAGTGCACATGGAAATTAAAATGATAATACTTATAATCTGGTTAGGAATATCCTACTCTGTCTTGAATGTTTAGGTATCTGTGACTCATGACACCACTGCTCATTTATACTGGGGCTGGCAGTAGATAACATTGGCTGCTAGAATCATGGCCTCCTTCTTCCTGGAGGTAGAACCCCAGCTGGTCAAGTGTTGTAGCACAGAGCACTCACAGAAGGGCCCCACTCAGTCAACTCTTGTCCCTGCCACTGGGGGAATTTCACTCCTTTTCTCGTGATTGATTTAGAGGGGTAGAGGCAGAAGAAGAAGCCATTTTAACTAGGGACGCCAAGGGCAGGTGTCTCCTGGTGATGGGGAGCTGATAGAAACAAGAGGAAAATTCTCCTTCCTTCTATTGATGCTAGCCATTTGAGAATCTGGAGTACCAATAACCACCTTCGAATCAGTATGGCTCAAAAATGCATGCCAGATACTGCCATGGGCAAAGTTGGAGCCCAGATTCTTCTTCTTTTTTTTTTTTTGTCGATGGTGAGGCCTGGACTGGGCCTGGGCACTGTCCCTCAGCTCTTCAGAAGCCTAGTGCTCTACCACTTGAGTCACAGCACCACTTCAGACTTTTCCTGCTTATATGTTGCTGAGGAATTGAACCCAGGGCCTCATGCATGCAAGGCAAGCGCTTTACCAGTGAGCCACCTTCCCAGCCCCAGCTCAGATTCTTTTTTTTTTTTTGTCGGTCATGAGGCTTGAACTCTGGGCCTAGGCGCTGACCCTCAGCTCTTCAGCTCAAGGCGAGTGCTCTACCACTTGAGCTACAACTCCACTTCTGGTTTTCTGGTGGTTTATTGGAGATAGGAGTCTCACGGTCTTTCCTGCTGGGCTGGCTTTGAACTGAGATCCTCAAATCTCAGCCCCCTGAGTAGCTAGGATTACAGGCGTGAGCCACCAGCGCCTGGCCCAGCTCAGATTCTTGATGTCATTGTTGAGCTTTAGGTTTACTTGAGCCAACAGGTATGCAGTCCCATACCCACCTATTTGAGTCCATTAAAATTGTGTCTTGCTGGGCGCCAGTGGCTCACACCTGTAATCCTAGCTACTCAGGAGGCTGAGATCTGAGGATCATGGTTCAAAGCCAGCTGGACAGGAAAGTCCATGAGAGTCCATTCCAATGAACCACCAGAACAGTGGAAGTAGTGGTGTGGCTCAAAGTGGTAGAGTGTTAGCCTTGAGCAGAAAAACTCAGAGACAGTATCCAGACCCTGAGTTCAAGCCCCAAGACTGACAAAAATAAATAAATTAAATTAAAAAAATATTGAGTATTGTCCTTGGAATGGCAGCAGTTATGTATTACAATGCTTTTTGGTGTGGGTAAAAGTAGCTGAAGAAAAAAAAAATAATGAAGTGGTGTAGCAGCAGGTGTTCCTAACAGCCTTATACCAGGCAGCATGGACCTGGTCAGCCAGCAAGGGAGGGAGTGACTGAGTGCTTAGACGGTGCTTTGGCTAAACTCAGTGGACGAGTGAGGTGTACATAATCAGGCAGTCCCAACAGAGTGTGGCCTGGTTGATCTCTAGCTCAGTTCTGGTTTTGCTGATGTTACGATCAGCTCTGTCATTCCTGGTGTCCAGGAGCTGCAGAAGAGAGAGGCACAGAGGAAGGACACACGTACAAGGCAGAGCCAGCAGTGTCAGGGTTTTCTCCTGCTTTTAGTTAACTTGTGGGCCAGTGAGAAATCAGAGCTTTTATTTGACTGGTCCCAAACTGCCATGAGTTCTGATCTTGTGAGTTGCTCACAGGGTCCCAGAAACCAAGGGAAAGCATTACCTGGAGAATAATTGACAGTGGCCATATGTGACTGACCCTGGCCTGACCCCTCAACATCTGGCCTCAGCTGCTGAGGCCAGTGAGTTCTTCTTCCCTGGTCTAGAGGGACCTGTGCTGTTGTAGAGCTGCTTTATGACCCACAGATCTATAGTAAGCAATGAATTTAAAGTAACAATAATTGAAGGAAGACAAGCCCAGGACCAGATGGAGTCACTGTGAAATTCTATTAACCCTTTAAAGAAGAGATAACACCGATACTCCTCCAGCTCTTCCATGAAATAGAAATAGAAGGAACACTTCCAAACTCACTGTATAAAGCAAGTATTACATTTATCCCCAAACTAGAGATACAACAATAAAAAAGAAAATTATAACCAGTCTCTTTGATGAACATAGAGTACCAGCTTCAAGTGAAGAAGTCAAGCAAGGTTGTAAGATACAGTTCAAACCCCAATGTTAGCACACACAAAACAAAAAAATCATATGCTATATTCAGATTGGTTTCATCCCAGAGATGTAAGGAGGGTTCAACCTACATAAACTAATAAATATAATGCACTACATAAACAGGACCAAGAACAGAAATCACATGGTCATTACAATTGATATAGAAAAGCTTTTGACAAAATTCAATGTCTGTTTATGATAAATGCTCTTAAGAGACTAAGAATAGTGGAGCACTGGTGGCTCACACCTATAATCCTAGCTACTCAAGAGGCTGAGATCTGAGGATCATGATTCAAAGCCAGCTTGGTCAGGAAAGTCCATGAGACTCTCATCTCCAATTAACTACCAGAAAACTGGAAGTGGCAATGCAGCTCAAGTGGTAGAGTGCTTACCTTGAGCTGAAGAGCTGAGGGATAGCACCTAGGCCCAAAGTTCAAGCCCCACGACCAACAAGAAAGAAAGAAAGAGAGGAAGGAAGGAAGGGCGGAAGGGCTGGGAAGTTGAGTCCGTGGTAGAGTGCTTACTTCGCGTGCATGTGGAGCTGAGGGATTAAACTCAGGGCCATGAATGTGAAGGCATGGGTTCGATTCCTCAGCACCACATAAGCAGAAAAAAAGCCGGAAGGGACACTGTGGCTCAAGTGGTAAGGTGCTAGGCTTGAGCTGAAGAGCTGAGGGACAGCGCCCAGGCCCAGAGTTCAGCCCCCCATGATCGACAAAAAAAAAAGAGACTAGGAGTATAAGGAACATATCTAAACATATCTTAATTAAAGCTGGATATGACAAACTAATAGCCAAATTCGACTGGTCCAGAACTCTGTGAGCCCCTTGTCCTCACTTTCCCACATAGCTGGGATGACAGGCATACATCACTATGCCCAGCTATTGGTTGAGAAGTAGCCTTACAGTATGCTTGAGCCGGTCTGGAACCTTGATCCTCCTGGGTTTTATCTCTAACTAGAAATTCAACAAAGAGAAAGTGATCATGGGTATTTTGGGAATTTTTTGTTTTGTTTTGTAAGCTAGACTGGGATTATAGCATGGGCTACCAAGCTTTGGCCTTTTTTTTTTTTTTTTGTAACTAGCAATAAGTAGCAGAGGATAAATCTGACTTGTAAGTTTCTACCATTTAACATTAAAAGTGGGTAGAGGTAGGAAGAATGGCAGAAGCTGGCACATCTTCCAATCTAGGCCAAATTTCCTTGTAGAACTTATTCCCCCTTCTCTCCCACCCCGCCTCCACCCTCACAGATTTCTGTAGACTTTGTCAGAGTGTGTTTGAGAGGCAGTTGAGAAACTCAGATGACACCTAATACTTCACACCAATTCCCCTTCTGTTTTAATCATAAAACTCACAGAACTCCATGAAGACCATTGAAAGATACAAAATGTAGAATAAACTGGAGTAATCTTTGTTATATCTTATGTTGGGCTTTCTGTTGTTTCTTCTAGGTATTCTCATGGGAGCAGTGATAAAAATTATAGAGTTTAAAAAACTGGCAAATTGGAAGGTAAGCTTGTTAACCTCTTTGTTTTGTAATGCAATCACAACTTGTAGTTGTAGTTAGTTCCTTTAACATCAGTGTTTTTGCTGGCTATCATTACTTGATTGTCAATGCCAAACCCCTTAGGGTATCTGGAGGATTTTGTTTGGCTGATACCTGCATTTAAACTCACAGCCTTGCACTTACTCTGCTTGTTTGCCTGCTTGCTTGGCTGGAGTTCTAACCCTTGAGCTATACCTTTAACTTTTTGTTGATTAATTGGAGACTTTTCTGCCTGGATTACCTTCAAACTGTGATCCTCTGAATCTTAGTTTCCCAAATTGATAGAATTACAGGTGTGAGCCACCAAGCACATGCTATTGGGTGTTTTTTATTTGTTTTTTGGTTTTGGTTTTTACTCTTGCCAGTCCTGAGGCTTGTACTCAAGACCTGGGCACTGTCCCTGAATTATTTTTGGTCAAAGCTAGCACTCTACCATTTGAGTCCCAGCTTGCAGCTTTTTCTGTTCATATGGTACTGAGGAATCGAACCCAGGGCTTCATGCATGCTAGGCAAACACTGTTCCACTAAGCTACATTCTCAGCCCAAGTGTTTTTTATATATAACTTAATATATGTATATATGGATGTGGTACTAGGGTTTAAAGTCAGGGCCTCTCACCTGCCAGGCAGTCAGGTGCTCTGCCTCTGGAGCCACACTCTGTCCTGTCCTGCTAGTTTTTAAACATTCTAGTATATTTGGGTAGATACCTTAATATCTGGGTTTTTTAAAAAAGTACAACCCTCCACCCTGTTCCACGTGAACACAGAAACACCTAGTGTTGTGTTTCATGTCATGATGGTTGTTTTTCCAATCCTGGAGCTTGAACTCAGGGCCTGGGTGCTGTCCCTGAGCTCTTTTTGCTCAAGGCTAGCACTCTACCACTTTGAGCCCAACTCCATTTCCAGTTTTTGAGTGGTTAATTGTTTGTAAGAGTCTCATGGACTTTCCTGCTGGGGCTAGCTTGTAGCTACAATCCTTAGATCTCAGCCTCCTGAGTACCTAGGACTACAGGTGTGAGCTACTAACCTCTTCCATTTTTATATCACTGGACTCACCTTGTGGAGAAAAGACTAACATTGGACATGAGAAACATTTATTGCTCTGGTTCCATTCAGACCGGTGACAGTAATAGGAGGTGTTTATCTAGCAGTGTGGCGCTTCAGCACTTTATAGATTCAACTACTATTGATCTTTCAATGGCCTGGTCAGAAAGGAAAATCCTCACCTCACTACAGGTGAAGGAAGAGGTTCCTGGAGCCTGGGACATGCACCTTGTCAGGGCTAGGTCAGAGCCAGGACGTAGCTGAGCTGTCTTGTGTTCACACCCTCTGGCCTGGAGAGTCAGTGTTTCCTCCACTATACTGCGCCGCCCTAAGTTTACTGGTGTGCACGTCCTTGGGTTTGCATGGTGGCCATTACGGTATAAACAGCATCTGGGAGTACAAAAACTGCTTGAAATCCAAATTTTAATTTCAGCCTGGTAATCTTCTCTTTTTGTTTGTTTGTTGTCAGTCTTGGGGCCTGAACAATGGACCTGGGCGCTGTCCCTCAGCTCTTCAGCTCAAGGCTAGCTCTCTATTACTTGAGCCACAGCACCACTTCCGGCTTTTTCTGCTTATGTGGTGCTAAGGAATCGAACCCAGGGCCTCATAGTCTGTTATAAAATAATACCAAGAAACAAATACTAGTACCCAGGAGATAATCCTTGTATCAGTGAATTCCAGGGTGTATGTGGGACTCCTAGTATTTCTAGACTTCTCTCTGGGCTGAGGTTGAGGGAAGAACCAGAAGAGCACTTTGTCCCCAGTGTTTTCACTGGTCTGTCTTGTTAAAGGGGCTCATCCCGAGGGTTCTTACTAGAGAGGGGCTGCAGGCTGCAAATCTGCAAGTCCTGAGCTCTTGTGTCTATGTCACCCACCTGCCCACTTTATTTAAAATAATTGATACCTGGGGCTGGGAAGGTGGCTCAGTGGTAGAGCGCTTGCCTTGCATGCCTGAGGCCCTGGGTTCGATTCCCCAGCACCACATACACCAAAAGAAAAAAGCCGGAAGTGACGCTGTGGCTCAAGTGTAGAGCGCTAGCCTTGAGCTGAAGAGCTGAGGGACAGCGCCCAGGCCCAGAGTTCAGGCCCCACGACCGGACCCAAAAGAAAAAAAAAATTGATACCTGATTGATCATTCAAGTTCTGAACAACAATTTCCAACCCAAACTGGTATACCTGGAAAAACTAATATTGACAACTGATTGCAAAACTAAAACACTTCACAGCAAAAACTAAAGGAGTTCATGAATAGTAAAAGTAAATGATCAAAATTTGAGGTAAAGTCTGGGGCATGGCTCAGAAGTAGAACACCTGCCTAGCAAGCCCAAGGACCTGAGTTCAAATTCAATATTGCCAAAGTAAATTTTTTTTGTTCTGGTACTGAGGCTTGAACTTAGGACCTCAGTTCTGTTCCTTAGCTTTTTCATTCAAGGCCAGCACTCTACCATAGTACCATTTTTTCCTTTTTGGTGTTTAATTGGAGTCAAGAGTATCATGGGGGCTGGGAAGGTGGCTCAGTGGTAGAGCGCTTGCCTTGCATGCTCGAGGCCCTGGGTTCGATTCCTCAGCACCACATAAGCAAAAAGAAAAAACCG